CCCCTCCAAAGCTCTCTTCCCTCACCCTATCGCGCTTTTAACCGAACCGAAATCAAACGTCAAAGCAATTCAGCTTCATCATAATCTCGTTCTCACTTTTTTGCATTCCCTCGTCAACGCCGCGGCGGCCACCCTCCTAGTTTATTCGCACCCCTCATTTAATTCAATTCGTTTGCGCGCCGAATCGAATTTCCGGATTTGTCCCAGAGCCGGGCAATTTCCTCCATTGTCGATCCCCTCCCCGTCTCGAGATGCTCTCATGGTTATCCTTTGTTTTCCCAGGGTGCCATGAAGCTGTGCACTTTTTTATTTTCGCATGACTCATCGTCGAAATGAACTCTGCGTCGAAATTTTCGTGGCGTCCACGGAGGTCGGAAGCTGGGATCTGAACGGGAACGTTATCGTTCGGGAACGGAAAGCTCGCAGCGGGTTGATTATTGGAATTGATAGACAAAAAAGATGACGTGAAAATGAAGTTATTCTATTGGTTGAAATGGGTGTTTATTATAGACTAAGTAAGGAGAATAATGATTGATTAACTATAGGGTCTCCAATGGGTTGCTTTTGGCTTGTCTATTGTTTACCTTCTTTGGCTATTCCAACAACCCGCTTCCACCGATAGAATCGCTCTATTTTCTCTTTGTCTCTCTTGTCTATAGCTTTGTCTATCATCATGTCAATAATCAGCCCGCAGGAATTCCCTGCTACTATGTATCGTCACGGGAAATTTTGACAAGGAAACAGGCACGCACTGTGGATGCACGTAATTGTTCATGCTTTGAAGGTTCTTCAGGAATTCTCCAGAGCGTTCTGGTATCACCAGCTCCTCTGTAAACGCATATCATTTTGTGCTACACGTTATTAATATTATTATTTTATACTCCAGGGTATGATTGTTTCCCCATCTTCCTTTTACATGAGCAGTCTCAAAAATTTCACCAGTTAAAGTAACGTCAACTCATAAGTCAGTTTTGATTTTCTGTTACAGAGGAAGCCAGGCAGAGCGGTGGAAGCGTCCTGGTTCACTGCCAAGCAGGGATCTCGCGTTCGCCGACGATCGCCATCGCTTACATGATGAAGCACCGCAGGCTCAGCTTGATCGAGGCTTACAAAGAGGTGAAAAACGCCAGAACGATCATATCCCCCAACTTCAACTTCATGGGACAGCTCTTCGAGCTGGAGCAAAGTCTGAAAGCAACTCCAGTCTCGAGCGATTCACAGTCTGATTCCTGTACTCCCGCCCCGGCTCCTTGTCATCCCTGCAGATGGAGTCCCCAGGCCAACGAGGAAGTGTCCTCTGGATGCAGCGTCTAAGGAGGATTCTGTCCTCGGAAGTGTCCTAAGGATGCAGCTTCTAAGGCGGATTCTATTCTTGGAAATGTCCTCGGGATGCAGCGTCTAAGGCGGATTCTATCCTCGGAAGTGTCCTCAGGATGCAGCTTCTAAGGCGGATTCTATTCTTGGAAATGTCCTCGGGATGCAGCGTCTAAGGCGGATTCTATCCTCGGAAGTGTCCTCAAGATGCAGCGTCTAAGGAGGATTCTATCATCGGAAGTGTCCTCTGATGCAGTGTCTAAGGCGGATTCTATTCTCAGAAGTGTCCTCTTGATGCAGCGTCTAAGGCGGATTCACCCTCCGCATCCCTCGTTAAAAAGAAGTCTCACTAAATGGCCCTCTCTCATAGTCTAAAGATATGCTTGAGCATATCCTCCCCAGGGATTGTAGACTTCGACTACTTGTGTCGCTGAGCCAAACAGTCAGGAAGACTGTCTGTACTTCGTATTACTTAAAAGTGAAGTGTGTGTCATTTTCTGTGTCCTCGTTTTCAGCTGCAATTCAAGGTCATATAGCAAGCATCAGAAACTTCATGTTTTCACATTGGTATGGTCGTTTGTTTTCTTGAAACGCCCGATGTGGATAAGTTTGCTGTGTGTCATTCGTTGCATCTATTAAGGACTGACGTATCCCAAGAATAGATCAATGTTTAGACATCAAATAATGTTCCTGTTTTAAAAGAAGCTATTGTTTATTTTTAACGCTTTGAAGGTCTAGTTCGTAGCACTTTCGATGACGATCACGGTGCAGACTTGTTAAGCATGGAAACTTAGCTTGAGCCGACGTCATTTTTATCATGTCACTTACTCTATTTATGAGTTTCAATCTCAATTGAGAACTATTTCTGGGATGCGCAATCGAACGTCCTGATTGGACCATCGATGCAAGTCTTTTGCTGCGTTACGTTGTATGTGTTAATATTTGAAAGCAAATGATATGCTCTCATTCACAGTCAACGCAGTGCTGTAGTTGCAAAACTATCCCAAAACTGATATTCAGAAAAAAGGAACAAAAATTAATCTGAGAAGTGATAATAATGGTTTGTGTATTTTGATTGATGAAATGGATGGAAATGGTTTGAAAAGTAAACTATTTTGTTCTTATCTAGTCTCATAATATTAATTTAATATTTTTTTTTTTTTTTTGTTCTTTTCCCCCTCTATTATAATACATAGGCTGTGGTAATTTCTTAGTTCATTATGCAGATCCTTATTTGGGGTAGTCTGGTAATGCTTATGTCCCTTCGATGAACTTCCTCCTAAATAAGAGGCAATTCCAACGTGTAATTAGAGTAAGAATACACGTGAAAGTCAAATTGTGTCTTCTGTTGAATTGTCTAACCCAACAGAAGCAAAATTGCAGGATTTAATTAGGTCCTTAGCAGACTTCAGAGGGCAAGTAGCATACCTCCGCAGATAGTGAATTAATTGGCCTGTCTTACTTTGATTTGCAAGCTCAATTAATTGGATTTAGTAGTCACTTTGACCAATGAATCGCATTGTCAAGTCTCGGAGTGGAATACCTACTTGCATACCTATTGATAATTTGATAACCCTCTGCTTGATCTGAACGACTTCGAAAAGTTTAGCTGGTAAATATTACAAAGAGTCTCAGTTTTGATTATCTTCCCCAAAACATTCTCTCTACTTTCAGTCACATTTAGCTTTCTCTGTTTTCCACGTTTGTGTTCATGTTCCATCATTAATTAATTAATCCCAAGTGAATTCAATTCTCCATTAAAGATAATAGCCATAAAAATGTGTTTGTTACCAAATTATTAGAGAAAAAAAATAAATCCTCAGTCCATGTTAACTCTACCGTTCATGGTAGAATTCGTCAGTACCTTTTTGAAATTATTTGTAGAAAAGTTTTATTTGTATAATTCCTATACCCTCTGTCAAGTTTCTGTTCCCCCCTTCCCCCACCTTTTTTCTAATTTCAGTACATATTTGAGCTTTTTTTAATTCAGTAACTCACAATTATCTTGTACTCGTCTTCAGAATTTTTAGATTTCACCTTATAAATTATCACCTTTATTTTAATGACCTCTGTGAATTGTGAAAAGGTGTCTGCTTTTGGATTTTCATGACTCAACCAGTAGCAAAAATTACTATTAAGTATTAATAACAAATGTATTTAAGTCATAGTAGTTCATACTACTTGGTATTGAAAGTACCTAATCAAAATTTTGAGAAAAACACACTCTGGTTAGAGGCATGAGCTCGAAGTTAAAAGGAAATATCAAATCCTGTATTTCCAAAATTACGTTCACTTTGTTCCAGTTAAAAACTGTAGAAAAATATGGGGGAAGTCACCTTGTCTTATTTTTGACATATCCTGTCCTCAATGCCTTTCCGCACTTTAACAGCAATGTGGCATTTTTTTTTATTTGAAGAAGGCAAAGCCTTAACTCTTTTCCTCCCTGTTCGTGATTTTTAAATTCCCCTATTTTTTTGCTTTTTGTCGATTTATGTGATGATAAAGAAAAAGAGAGGCTTATTATTTCTTATTGAGCACCATTCTCATCCGAAATTGAAGTCTCTTGAAATGCCCCTTTTTTTCTCCGTTTGGTCCTTTCTTTCCCTTTTCCCAAAGTCTTTGTAGAAACTCAGAACCGAAGGGTCTGAGAGTGAAGACCAATCAACTCCCTTCTCTTTAAAGCTAAGATTCTAAATTTTCAGCCAATGTTTTGCCTTTCAGCGCTACTCAGGTAATTTTACACAAAATATGTAAAAACCACGTTTGTTTGCAAAACATTTAAGTCAGTTTTTAAGTATCGCTTAAAAAAAGGAAGACAAAATTTGCATAATCTTAGCGGTGAGATGATTATCTCAGCAGCCCCTCCTCCCTTCAGTTTATCTCTAAATCTTTCCTGCAAATTATTTTTATTTATTTATTTAAGTTTGTGTTACCCCTACCATTAAGTCAAATGTTCTGAGTCTTTTTGTTTCTTGTATTTATGTGTTAGTCGTTCAAATGGATTTTTATAAATTTTGTGGAAGATTGTACTGTACATTATTTGATCGGTTCAGAAGAATATGACGTGTATTTAATCAGCGATTTTTCAGCTGCTATTCCTCAGGTGAAAACTGAGGGTGAGTCATTTTGACACTTAGCTTGCAATGAGTATCAATATATTTAAAAAATGGAATAAGACGTTGCTACTGGAAAGCAAGTATAATTTGAACTTCAAAAGAAGGGCTATTAAGTCTTTTTTATACTTTGCCAGAGTATGTCCTTTTAGTCTCATTCCCTCTCCCCTCCTCTCTTAAAGTTCCTTTCCCTACTCATGTTTTTTTTTTGGCCTATGAAGCCTTGATAATTCAAATCATAAATTAATTTAAAACGCAAATATTTTTTCTAGTTTCTCAACTATTTAATGTACTTCTTGAAAATAACCTGTACCTCTTAGAAAAAAATTCCTCTTCAGTTTTCACTCCAGAAATTATCAACTCGGTAGCTTACCGAAATCCACCTCTGTTAGTTCTTGCTTAGTGATGTGTAAAGTTTGGATTTTTTCATGTTGGTAACAGTGTATGTCCTCCAGTTGAATCCATTGTTAATAATCGACTCCAGGTGTAGTAGCCTGTTTTGATAGGTATCGATTATCTAATATGTTAAATGGAGGAAATTCACTGATACCAACTTGCAGGAGTTGCCGCTGATGGTTTAAACCTGAAATGGAATTCCTGCGTCATCTCTGAAGGACAGAATGACCATAAAAAGATTCTACTTCCAACAATCATGACTTGTATGAGCCCTCATTCATAGCAGCTGATTATCTTTGATTATTTCGATTGTAAGATTTGATTTGTGCCTTCTCTAGTATTGTACTTTAATTTTTACCATTTCTTTTTGCTGTAAAAATTCAGTTTGAAATTTATTGAAAGAAGATACCCTTGTAAAGTAAATTTGTCTGTAAATGTAATTTACCTAATGATTATATTGTGTATCATACCAAATCATTTTTCTTCTTTTTTATTCCTCGGAAAATTTGATCCCTCTTATCGTTCAGTTCAGACTCACTTATCTCAATGAGATGGCAAAAAAAAAAATTAAATTTTCTAAATACATTTTGATAAGCATTCAGGACGCTAATTTTACAATAAAATAGCCCTAAAGTCATAAAACATGTGAATTAAGGAAATAAATCCACTCCCTAAACAGTCAACTATTTTGTAGGAGGGTCAAAAGTGCACCAACCTAATAAATCCATTAACAGTAGGTATTACAATGGCTACCTTCAAAAAATGCCCATCTCAGTCACTTTGTTTAACTTATATCTCCAATTAGATTTTATCCTTTTTATGTTGAATTATGTTTTATTTTTTCTAGAAAATCTAATCGATATGTTTCCTTGCAATTCCATGTGATTTTTTTAGAATGATTATAGAAAAGTTCACAAGAAACTGTCGATTAATTTTCCTTCAAGAAAATAAAACGGAAGTGGAGGTTCACTCTATTGTGCCCTGAGATATGTATTTTTGGAATTTAGCCTTTGATTTCCAGTATTAGCCATAATTCATAATAACCTCCTCAGAGACTGAATCTCAATAGTTTTTGTTGCACACCAAGTTTGTTACATTTTGCATTATAAGCACTACAATCAGCTCGATGAGTCCGCCACAGAAGATTTGCAGCAGCTATTAGCGGACTATTCTAGTTCCTGAGGGAACCAAAGAAAGATTCCACAAGAAAATCATCTGTGCATTGATTGACAAGAGAAAAGAAGAAAGAAAAAAAGGGGAAAGTAATATTGCAGTAATCCCGATTTTGATTCCCAGTAAATTTTTTTTATTTATAACTCAAGCCGTCTTCTTACTTGAAATTATCAGAAGAAATGAATATCAAGATGAAGAAAGAAATTCTGAGAAATGTTGTCGATTCATTTCCTGGATCAAAAATTCAATTGGCAGAGAAGAGGGAACAGGACTGAGCTTGATAGAGTTGCATCAAATTGCATTTTGGAGAAAAATGAGCTTGGAGCAGTTTTGAATTCAATTAGTCATAACTTATCTCCTGTCAAAAGTTCAAAGTCAAGAAACAGTATTTTAAACGTGAAAAATGTGTTCATTTTTGTCTTTAAAATTCACACCTACAAAGGAATAAAACTTAAAACGCCTTTTCTTCTCGGCTCAGACCTTATGTGAGTTGGTGCATTTCTGTCAAACTCTGTCTATTTATTTCATAGCTCTGCATTGGCGGATCCAGCAAATCAGCAACATTGTTGTTCTCCATTAAAAGCAATGGAAATGTATCGATTCTTGGAGGGGCCAGGTGCTCCGACAACAATCGAGTATTTAACATAGGTTTAAACGGAGGAACCTCGGTGTTGCCAAATTGCTGGATCCGCTTCTGAGCTCTATGATACCTAAAAACCGGCAAAAGTGATATGGCGATTCTGGCCTGCAAAACTGTAGGAAATTTCCCTTGGAAGGTAAAATAAAAACTGAATCATAAGCTTGTGAGTTCTAAAAAAATAAAGACAGCAGAGGAGCCTAGCGGGAAACGCAGGAACTACAGGTAAGTATTTAAATACTTACCTATATGTATTTTCTAAGCATTAAATCGATGACCGAAGTGCAAAATCACGTAACCTCCGTTTGTGACGTCGCAGACTTCCTGTGATACTTTATTTTTTCATTCGGAAACTTTCAACTTAATTTCTCGAGAACTTCCTTGATTTTTTCTTTTCTATTAAGCAGAAATGGACGTATTTCTATCAAACGGAACTGAGCGCCAATTTGAGTTCCTTTTGAGGAATTTAGAATCCCGGATAGCGCGTTCTGTCAAACGGACCTAAGCGCCATGGAAAAGCATTGCGAGTTAGGGATGTCGATACTTATCCGATACTTGCAAAGTATCGATACTTAACGATACTCGGCATCGATACTCCACGATATCGATACCATGCAGTATCGATGCCAAGACCCCAGTATCGACGGTATCGATACTCAGTCTGATTTGGCCATGAAAAAGGCCTCGTTTTCTTTTTTAAAAAACTCTCTCCCCACTATTTCACCTCCATGATGCACTGTGACAAACGACGGAGTAATCAAGTTTCTCAAGATGATTATACTTCAATGAAAATGTTAAAAGCTCAGTTCGATAACTGTAGTTAAGGGCTCAAAATAGTTGACCAAGGACGCGAACAGGGCTTTTTCGAGAGAGGCGTAAATCTGGCGGAATTTAACGGCCGACAGACATACGCACACTCAGAATCACGGCATAATTTAGAAATAGTATCGATGGTATCGATACCTCATAAGTATCGATACTTCAGCTCGATGCTCGATACCGGTATCGATGCTTAGAGTCGATACCAGTATCGATACCGAGTATCGATACTTCCCTGAGTATCGACATCCCTATTGCGAGTATAGGACGGAATCAGCCGGACGCTCGATTTCGCCGCCAATCCAAGCCCCCCTCTACCTTCCTCACCCTATGGCGCCTAGGTCCGTTTGATAGAAATACGTCCAAATATTCCTTAGAAATCTCAAGTTATAGAGTTGCGACTTGTTTCTCATCGAAAAAGTCAAATATAAGGAGGGATTTCAAAACGCCGTAATGGAGGATTGGAGGCACGTCGTGGTTCAGCCCTTCAGCCATACTGAAATTAGACAATCAGGTATCTGCTCTGTTCCTTACCGTGACCGAGCGATACCCCGGTAAAAATTGGCGATAGGAGCTGCGTTTCAAAATAATACTATAAGAATTCTTATAGGCGGCTAAAGGAGGCGATAGAAAATTATATAGCTGGCTGTAGAAAGTGGAGAAAATCATAGAGCCGGGCTACACGAAGCAATACAAAATTATGAAGGCGGGCTATAGTTCCTATCGCCGGATTATACAACTTATCGCCATCTGCTATGAAAGGCTATAAGAAATTGTGTAGAAATTCGTGTGTTTTGAAAATCATTAAGTTTGATACGGAACCACCTTAATATTGACACAACACACGTTATATTTTCCTTTAATACATATTTTTTTTAATCAATTAAAATGAGAATAATCCATACAGAGCGTGCAAACATTTTAAAATCATGAGTTGAAAAACGCTGACTCCGCCAGATTAAATGTTAGAGCCTAACACAAAGCGGAGCGGCGACGCACTGGCGCCTACAAACCTAACAGGAATACTTCACGCATTGCGCAACGCGTGAAGTATTCCTGTTAGGTTTGTAGGCGCCAATGCGCGTTTCGCGCTGGCCGCCCCACACTGTGGTATTGGACCTGAAAAGCTGGCCAAAACTATTTATCACCAGATTTCGCCGAGTTTTAAAAATATTTTACAATCAGTACTTCTTCTTAAGTGATAATATGCACAAATTAACCACCTAACACATCATATGACAATTTGCGGAGAGTTTAAAGAGGGTGCAAGAAGCCCTCCAAAAAGCCTTTAAAAGGACGCAAAGTATCTGACTAAATCGGTGCATTTAGACGAGTTTCTCCTTCACCTATGGTCTACTTTTCGAAATAAGGACTTTCTATTACCTCAGTTATGGTTTTTTTTTAAAAAAAACAGCGTATGTCACTTCAACATTTTTGACGAAACAGCCGATCTCTCACATTAAGGAGTAATTGTACATTTCTCAAAAAAATTAATATGAATCATTCTAGATTTTAGATTTTTGACAGTTTTGAATCAAAATTAGTGCTAGTATGAAAGTGCCGGGACCTCCTTATGATGATTTGAGGTTAAATTATAAGATGAAAATGAGTTTTGTCATAATAAAAACAATTGTAAGGGTAGAATGCACCTGTGAAAATGATTCATTTTGATGGGTTCCTTCCTAACCCATGGTCCACATCTCAAAGTGAGGGCACATCACTGCAAAAGTCGTAACAAAACCACATATCTCACTTTTACGAGGCTTCAAATGTGCCTCTCAGCGTAATTTCATGGTGCCAGAGGGCCACTTTTAAAGCCCCACCCCGCGGCCGCATGGACTCAAATTTGTCTGTCAAAGTAAAACATGGCATAAATATGTCTATACTCAAGGATAATGCACGAAGAGATTGTTAGATAACGGATTAAACACTTTTGAAAGACTTTAAAGTGACCCTCCCATCCGCTTTCAAATTATTTTTTTCATCCCTCTTTCTAGGGTGCAGGGGCCAGAGAAACAGGTTGCGTGACCAAATGTCACCCAATTTGGTACTAAATGGGTCAGAGTTGTTGGAAAAATACAGTTTCAGTCGTTAGTATTGACATAATTTTTCCCATTCATGTTTGTGAAAATCGCTCAAAAGTCCATCTTTAAGGTCAAAAATTTCAATTTCCTCAGTTTTCCTCAGTCTGTTACCCCTGAATCCTGAAAATACCCACTTTGGACTATAACATTCCGCCTTAAACTGCTTGAGCGCAGTTGAGCGCAAAAAGAAATCGGACCTTGAATTTCGAAAAAAACGTTTACTTTTACGTCACTTTTCAACCTCCTGTGAAAATCACTAAAAAAGGAAATTTCGAAAATACTGTGGTTAGTTGTGCAGAATATACCCCTAAGAATGTGTTGCATATCGCCGAAGTTCCCTTTTATGGCCGCACAGTTGAAGTAAACTGATCGACGAGTAGCGCGCCAAAACATATCAAAATAATCACTGAGAATTAGGTAACTTCGTGGTCTCTTCGCGGGAAATTGAGCCACTCGAAAAATGGTACATACATGTCTACCAGGGTAAAAAACAGTGTAGATTTCGAATATCATATTGGTTTTTCGATAAAAAAAAAAATTAAAATTGAGGTTTTGGCCAGGTTTTTCGGTCAAATACCACAGTGTGCGCCCGCCCGCCGCGCTGCAGCGTGCCACGGCGCTTGAAGCAACTATTTCACACCAGAGGTATTGCACAGTATCATACGAAATTGAAGGCGCGCTAACATATTAGGAATGGCAGGCATCCATCAACAGTACGGAGCTTCCCTCGCAAAATAAATCAAGATACTACGGCCCAAAAGGAGAGCGGTAGTCCAAAAACTCACTAAGTCCTAGCATCCGTTATTGGTAACATTTAGTATATACTTTATCGCCTAGCTGTTGCTTAATCGCCATCGGCTATAAAAGGCTATAAGAAATTGTACAGCCGGCTATATGTAGAAGCTATTGGAAATCTTACAGCCGGCTGTAGGACTATGGTATTTTGGAACACAGATTCTACTGCCAATGTTTACCAGGGACTGCGATCTACCGCTCATATTGCCATCATTTTTATTGAAGGCGAACTCGCAAAAATTAGTGACACGCAATTAATGCGGGTAGCAACGTCTTTTTCCTTCGAGAGCGTATGTAAGGGAACAGAACCGCTTCGATAACCGAACAGGGGGTGGGATTGAAATTGAGTGCGCCTTCATTTGGATAGCTATACAATTTGAACTCCGACTAAATTAAATAATATACTGCACCAAACATTCTGCTTTCAAACGAGCGTTTACTCAGATTTGTTTTTTTCCTTTCCATTTGTATGAACATGCACGTCCATTCAACGGCGATAGAATTTTAGTCGAACAAAGCTCCCGGCTCCGATCGATCATTCTAACAGTTAGACAGAGGCGGATCCAGCAATTTGGCAACACCAGATTGCCTCCATTAAAACCTATGCTAAATAATCGATTCTTTTCGGAGCACCTGGCCCCTTCTAGAATCGATACATTTCCATAAGTTTAAATGGAGGAAATCCATTGTTGCCAAATCTCTGGATCCGCCAATGCAGTTAGGTTCTTTCTTAAATCCTGCATTGTAAGTAGACTCAAGGTGTCTGATTAAAATTGTACATTCTCTGGGATACTTCTGGGATGGTCACCAATCAATCTATTGATTTCCTATGCGGATTGAACCCGTACAATCCGTACCGGATAAGCGGAATCATTCTTTCTGTGACTTGGACCAATCTTGCACGTAGTGTGTTGCGTGCTCTGATCCGTGCGTCAAATGTTATCACCTCGACCCCACCAATTTCTTTTTTATGTAGGGAATTTTTCGAGATGGCCAATTTACAGCGCGCTCCTGTCTGAGTATGATATTCCTCCTCAATGTCGTCCAAACAACCCCGAACAATGGCCTCGTCCTTTTCGGTAACAATGATGAACACGTTGCAACCGACTCCCATCTGAAAATAATTAAAAAATTGTTCGTCCACTCAAGATACTTGAAGGAGAAGAATAGTAGTGGATAGAAGAAGGAAATACTATACGATTTGAAAAGAGTGTTCGATTAGTTTGAAGATCAAAATATCCTGTATAAGATGCTCGTCGCGGGTTTAAAAAAAAAAAAAAATATGGATCGGAAAATGCTTATATTTTGAATTTCCTCGGCGGTGAGGGGGGGGCTTTAGCTGATCCCGTGTTATTTTCTGAGGTACAGTATCATCAAATGATATTATTGTGCCACATAAAGTAAAAAAAGGATCAACTAAAGTTGTTTTTTTACCCGAGGAACTCTAAAATATTAGCATTTTTCCATGGTAAACAATTGCAACTATGTAACACTGTATAGCCAAAACGATCTTTGAACTCAAGCTAAAACTTTCACTGGAGAGTTGCATCATTCTAGGGTTTTGTTAATGCCATTTTTGAACAAAATTCCTATCCCTTTATAACGTGGTGATATTTAATCGTAATAACGCATTTTTTGGTTTTTAAGAATTGATTAATTTTTCTGTGTGGCGTGATTTTGCAAATTTTCATCAGTGTTCTTTTTTTTAATAATTCCAGAAAAGTCAAAATTTTGACAATTTCACTCATTAGAGCTCAAATTTTTTACTCAATAATTGAACTTTTTTGGCCTTGCTTTCCCCTTATATTGCCGTGCCAAGGGGAAACGCCGTGTGAACCTTCAGGCATTTCCAAATTTCCATTTCTAAAACACGAATTTCCGAGTAAACTTATAAATATTTCTCTTCTTTTTCAGATACTGTTTTTGCAATTTCACCTAAAGTTCCCGAAATTTTCAAGGACAAATATTCATAAATTTCCTCAAAAATAAACAGTTTATCGAAGGAAATTCGGCAACTCTCGAATGTTCATACGGCGTTCTTCTTTAGCACGGCGGTATAGTAGCGTGGACCCAACACTTTTTCTGCCGTGCTAAGGAAGGACACCGTAAGAACCTTCAGGCGTTGCCAACTTTCCTTGGATAAAACACGGATTTCCTGGTGAACTTATGAATATTTTCCTTCTAATTTTTCAGGTAATTTTGTTGGCAATTTCACCTTAGGTTCCTGAAAATTTCACTGAAAAATATTCATAACTTTCCTCAAAAATAAACATTTTATCGAAAGAAATTTGGCAACTCTCGAATGTTTATATGGCGTTCTTCCTTAGCACGGCAGATTTGACCACCTCTTCGCCCACAGTATGTGCCAAATCTGTAGTGTTTTTTACGTTGTTACCCTAAAGAGCGACTGGAGTATCATCTGGAAGAGGATATTTCGATAGTGTGGGGTCTCCGTCCGGAGCACGAGCTGCCTTTTGGCCTCTTGGACGATCCGCCGCACGTGCTCGTAGCGCACCCATAAAATCGCGGTCCTCGCCTTGGAGTACATGGACGACATCTCACTGGAAACAATCACAAAGGGCTCAGCTTCCTCACTCCTGCACCAGTTTTTCCCGACCGACAATGAGCAACATTTTTATTACAAGTTTACATCGAAATGCTCTCAACGCGATCTCATTCGCGACCCCGCACCGTTGCGTCGAGAGGGCATGAGTCATTGAGTCATCGGGGGACTCTCCTCCTGCTAGCTTCTTCATGCAAATCAAAGGTCATCAGGCGGGCACCATTCATCCCTCCACCCTTCTGCTGTTCAATGTGTGAGTATAGGGAGGAAATCTGGTTAGGCAGTAGTTAGCGTAATGCTGCTGCTCTGCCACACAGTGAATCGAGTCAATAGGAGAGGTCGGACAAAATTTGGAAACTTTAAACGCTTATTACTCCGTTTATTCACGGAGAAAAAAACTTCGTCCATGGGACCCGAATTTTAGGTCATATGGATCTCTGAAGTTTTCGGATTGAGCATCTGAACACTTTAGGTCTAGCTGTCGAGGTTCGGATCACACATCTGAAACTTCAGTTCTTACATCTGAAGTACTTCAGATGTGAGAACCAAAGTTTTTCGGATGTGAGATTCGAAGTTTTTTGGATGTGAAAACCGAAGTACTTCAGAGGTAAGAACTGAAGTTTCAGATGTGTGATCCAAACCTCAGCAGCTGGACCTAAAGTGTTCAGATGCTCAATCCGAAAACTTCAGAGATCCATATGACCTAAACTTCGGGCCTCACGCACGAAGTTTTTTTTCTCCGTGCACAAAACTTTAAGGCTCTAAAAGTGGTTCCATTGGTCTCCTCGTGAGCTTTTGATCCAGGAGCACCCCTTGAAATCTAAAATGTGACGAAACAAGCATCAAAATTTGCAGTTTTGTTCAAAAATTTTGTGTCCGACCTCTCTGATTGAATCGATCCACTGTGTGCCGTGCTAAGGAAGAATACCGTATTAACATTTTAGAGTTTCCATACTTTCCCGAACAAAACATGTATTTTTAAGGCAAGTCGTGTATTTATCCTTGCAATTCTCAGATATATATGTAATTTAAATTGATTTGCCAACAACGATGCCGGACAATTTTGAGGAAAAATACATTCTCACAATTTTCCCAGTAAATGTGTTTTTTTTTTATTGAAGGAAATGTGTACGGCAACGACGTAAGGCTCATACGGCGTTCTTCCGTAGTATGTCAAAGCTCTAAGAAAGGACGCTGTATGATCCTTCAGACATTGCCAAATTCTCTTTGATAAAACACAAATTTTCGGGAAAATTCGCGAGTATTTTTACATCAATTTTTTTAGAGGATTTTGTTCGAATTTAGATCTAAAGTGCCGGAAAATTTCAAGAAAATTTTTCACAACTTTTTCATCAGTCGACTGCGACCAACAGTCCCACACTAACTACTTAAAGGTTTTTTTGTCATCAATTTTATTGTAGACATGATTTTGGTTTGCTCAAAACTATTTACCGGACAAGCAAACCTCTTGTTTCAAATTTTAATTTTACTTATTCAATCTGAATGCCGCACATCTTTGAAGTGTTACCTACTGTCAGTGGCGTGCGGTGGGTTCAGTGACAGGGCAAGCTCTAGCGTTCGCCATCCGGGGGGGGGGGGGAGTGGTTTAACGTAGCCTCTTTCCCTTCCCCCCCCCCTAGAAAATTCTTCAAATTTTACTCTATTTGCTCTATTTTTCGGATGAAATCTGATGGAACGTCTTGAAAAATTGTGGTTTTGTTTCTATTTCTCTCTTATTTATGATTTCATTTACTCAACTTGTTTCGAATGTTATTGATCATTGGAGGACGGCTCCATACTCTTAACTCCTAATTTTGCCACTTATTTGAGGTATTATAGTCTTTATTCTACAGCATTTAGAATTTTTTGAGTTACTTAAATTTCCCCAAAAACAAGGGCTTTCTGCATTTAAAACAGGGTTGAGAATTGTCTTATTCATCACCAATTAGATCCAAGTGAGCGAAATTTTATAGAATATAAAGGCATTTGCTCCGGAGGAGCAATTACAGCCGCGACGGAAAGAGGGAACAAGATAGCGCATCGGAGGCAGAAGCAGCGCGCTGCATGCGGTGACGGGCCAAGAGATGGCCAAGAGAAGCGAGCTGCGATCGCGCACAAAAGGCTCGGACTCGGAACGTACCGCTCCACCCGCCCGCCTTGATTCCGCCGCTGAGCAGTGGCGCTTCGCTTAGGGTAACCTCGAGCTCTAGTGCTTATTGCCTCGCTGATCGCTCCTAGAGCTCTCTAGGAGCGAGAAGCAAAGCAATAAGCACTGGAGTTCGAGGTTACCCTAGCTTCGCTCAGCTGATCGCAAGCGATTCTCCAGTGCATGAGTTGGCCCGTGTTAGAGTCCCTTTATACCCAGAGTTACGACAACTCACTTTTGGTTGGGCCAGGATTGGGCTGAGAGTGGCCTAAAAAAAAATCCAATTCTGATTGGTTCTCGCTCATGGAGGCCGAAACTAGTGCACCAAGATGGCGGTACCTCGTATGTGAACAAGAATAATGAAAATATTTCCTAATTGTGGTTTATCAAGAGTAAATTGTTCTTGCCATCGGTCCAAAATGAAAATAGATTAAGAAATTATTCACAAACCAATCTCATTTTCTTTTTAATTGATCAATTTGTTGATGTTGTTGTTTCTGTGTGACAGACATCGCAGGATTCCTGATCGTTATCCCCCAATATCGTTCGTTTGAGTGCACTAGTTTCGGCCTCCATGGCCAGCCAAGGTCGGCTGCCAGTCAGCTGATAATCGAGTTGTCGTTACTCTGGGTATAAAGGGACTCTAGCCCGTGTTCAGGCCGCGCAGCGCGCTGCGCCAGGCGCCGCACCTCCATCCGCTCTGCCGCTTTCCTACTTTGGTGGCTCAGGTGGCTCTATACGTATTTCTGTCTCCCTCTCTTTCTGTTTTTAATGCAATTTACTTACTGAACACATTTTATAAATTATATTTGCTAAAATGTAAAACATTTAATAGGTGTAATTTTCTTCTTTCTTTTGAAATCTTTGGGCAAGCAGTGCTTGCCTTGCTTATCCGGACCGCACGCCACTGAAGTGCAATAATTATCATGGGTGGCGGTAGCCACCTCCGGACAAAGTCTAAACTCGACAACACTGGAAAGCCTCCAAACGAAAAAGGTGGCAGCCAACCATAGACACACGTAACTCCCTTAAACCATAGTCATGGGTGGCGGTAGCCACCTCCGGACAAAGTCTAAACTCGACAACACTGGAAAGCCTCCAAACGAAAAAGGTGGCAGCCAACCATAGACACACGTAACTCCCTTATTCTGAAAATTGATTCGACTCGAACTCGACTGCAGCCCAAACGACGGCACGGATTCCATTGATCTTGGTGTCTACTGACGCACCTAAATTGGGCCTACTAAGTGGGAAAGTTTCATCCAGATCCATTGAGTTTTCAAAAAGTTATAAGCACTTAAGGTTAATCTTCAGCTGTAGTTCCGAAAAAATCCACCACGTCGCGCTGCTAAAATCCGACTCCGAAATCAGTGATTATTTAAATATCACAATAGGTATCTTAAATTCTAAGACTCATAAGTTCTAGCAGCATACGTCTGGAATCCTTAGAAACAAACGCGAGCTTTGAAAGTCTAATAATAAAAGCTGTAAATTGATCCCAGTTTCTCTTACGGGATATCTGTAAGTGCGAGAGAGACAGCTCACGGTGGGAGAGAGATATCTGCCAACTGCTGAGAGCGATCAAGCGCGATTGGTTGCATCAAGGTCATCATGCTTAACCCTACTTTTTTCTGGGATCAAATTGCAGAGCTTCAGAAATAACTTTTCACGTTGTTTTTAGGGTCAATAGGAAGAAGAATGTTATAGCTAGAACTTATTTATCTTCGATTTAAACAGAAATTCCTTCAACTTTTATAAAAGCTCAAGGACTCACGTGGTGCTGTACGGACTCTAAAACACAGCGGTGGCGCCCCCTGCGCGGAGAAATTTCTTACTTCACGCAGCTGTAGATACACCTTAAAGGCCCAAAATGACAAATATTTTTTGTAACATGGGCCGTTCAGTAGCGGGAAACCGACATGATCACCTTTCACAACAGATTTCTCTCTTACACGGCCACAGATTCTAATGGAACCTAGAGAGGCCCTGCTTGAGGATATAAGGATTTCATTTATACCACATTTAATAGGGTTTCAATGCTCGGATAATTCAGCATCGGCAAATAACTTTCAAAATTTTAGCTACAATGTTTTTGAATTTTAGAAAAATCCGGTATAGTGGTTCAATGCCATTGGTCGATTCTGTTCAGTTCAGCCAGTCTCCGGAACGAAATTTCCCTAGTTACCAATACCAACTTCCAACTCTAACTACTTGAGAACAGATTTATGATTTAATATAATATGAGAGTTCAATTCTCTGTAGAAGCTAACTAATATTTTTACACACTTATATTATTACGTCGCACGTCTTCTGCCAGAGCCCGATACACTATTTCATTAGTTTCAAGTGTTCAAGTGATGTCATTGTTCAGAAGTGAGGTTATCAGTCGGTGTCGGGTGTACATGTCTGACCCATATACGTAAATGGTCAGTCTGACCCAAGCATCAATGAATGTAATTCGGATTCCAAAATTCAGGTAAATTACGTCGATAAAAGGACACCAAAGTTGTGCCAAACTATCAAAAGGAAGCAGGATTTACACCACAGTTTGCATTCTCGTGACTAACAGCATCCAAATATTTCCCTACCATGCACACCGATGGATCGAAGGGAGAGCCCATTACTCTCAGTTTTTAATTACATTATTGTTTTCCTCAAGTCAC